CAACCATTGAAAATTTATGTTCAAGCACTTATAGGCATGCATGTAAGAAGAAGAAAAAAGATTAGTATAAAAAAAGTGGAAAGCACCATATGTAATTGTGCCTTTGAAATAATTGACTTTGTTCAACAATTGAGAATTATGTTCATGCACTTATGGGCATGCATGTAAGAAGAAAAAATATCAGCATAAAAAAGTTGAAAGAAGTGTCTACATGCTTCTTGGTCATTGAACTATTCAAGGTTGTTTGGTTGAAAAGCAAAAAATGAAAGTTCAAGGCCGATGTAGAACTGACAAAGCTACCCAACATGGAAGAATGAACACAACATGTTAGGCCTTATGCTCCAAGTACGGAACCACAATGCTACCAAATGTATATCTAGGAAAAGTAAATGCAAACACATCCAAATGTAGGTAGGTTTAGTCCAAGAAAACTTAAAATGTTGTTATTACCTCTAGTCCATCTGCAATAGTGTTCTTTTTGTCCTTTTCGTCTTCTTCTCCTGAATCCTTCCCTTCATCACCGTCGTCATCATCTTCTTCATCGTCGTCATCATCATCATCATAATCTTCTTCTTCTTCTTTCTCGGCTTCATCTTTGACCTCCTCTTCATGAGCATCCCTCCCAAACCCTATCCAATCACTTTGAGCCACACCCAGTTTCTGCTGCTCATTCTTGATTTTCTCCACCAATACTGCCTCCTCTGACAGCCTCATAAGTGTCTCCGACCATCTCTCCCCGGGCCTTGCCATTCTCCTCCCAACGGGGTCCTGAAATTTCCCAATATACTCATGGTGCAAATACGGCTCCCTTTCCCTCATTGCATCCTCCGAGAAGTACTGCCCTCCACTAACCAACTTGTCCATATACGCCCTCCTCCGGTTCTTGACCTTTGCTGATCTAGACTTCAGTTCTGCTTCAGTCGGGCTAATCAAACTACGCAGATGTTTTAAATGCCAATTAATTTCATAATCGTCCTTTAACACCTCAAATTCTCTGAGCTCCTCCTTTGTCAAAAGTGATCCATAGCGCTCTGATATGATTCAAGGCCAGTAAGACAACTTTTTGCGCATATATTCATTCAATTATTCCAAATATAATCACTAGGATTCTATTTTGTGGCACAATTTTCATACAATTAGAATTCCAAACTATAAAAAACAGCCAAAAAACACAGCTTAAAAGTGAACAGATGTGGTGATCTGGAAGAGAAATTAGTCTGAGGAAAATAGTTGAGCAGTAATACCTAAGAATAGAGGGGCGTCACGAGAGAGAAGGTCGAGGAGGAGGGACTTCCGGCAGGATGAAGTGGCCGTCGACGACTTGACGGCAAGGGGGAAGTATAGGTTCTCGAGCCGCGACAGCCGATAGGAGATCGTCTCCATCGTTCCGCCGCTCACGGTTTCCGCCATCGATCTCTGCTCTACCATCTCTTTGTTGCGTCTTCCATTGATGAAGGAATGATATGGTTGATTTGAGTCGGTTTGTTCTTGAGCTTTTAGTAATCACTCAGTATACGGCGTCGTTTATGTTTGGACATTTGATTTTGGATAATTTTTAGGAAAAATAATCTCAAATAATCTCAGTTTTTCGTTCTCTTTCAAAAATAATCTTATTTTTTACTTTCACCAGAAATAATCTCACTTTTTTGCATGTGTGCGAGTTTTGGATCGCCTTAAAAACTATCAGTCACTTAATGAAAATTTTGAAAAATACTCGTTTTTTGCAAATAAATGAAAGATGAGATTATTTTAGGTAAGTTCTCCCTTTTCGGTTTTTTAAGTGTTTTTAGAGTGAAACTAATTGTTTTTTCAATAACCAATAATCTGTTAATAATTAGAAAATAAATTATTCTACACAATAGAGCTAATTTATTCACTTCATAACTAACTGCATCTTTTTTGTAAGTTGCATTTACTGTATTTTCCTTGAGCTGCACTTCAAATTATTTTTTGATACTATATTATTATTATTTCTTAAAAAATGGCACTACAAAACTTATGAATATTTTTCGATAGTTCTATATAAATATTTTTTGTGAAACAACATTACAATAGTTGTGAAAATAACACAACAATTTTTTTCTTTAAAATATAACTTTTATTTTTATAACTCACTACATTTTCTGATGTGTTGCAGTTTTTTAATGAACACTCCGAAATATTTATTGATAATATTATATTGCCAATAAAAGTTTCTTTCTAAAATCAAACTACCCAATTTGTGATTTTTTTATAATTCAATACAAATTTTTTCCCAAAATAGTAATTCAAAAGTTGTGAAAATGATACAATATTTTTTTTCTCCAAAATGGTACCCATAAATTTTATAAATCACTACAATTTTTTTGTATGGTAATTTCTTACTTTGAATTATTTTTGATAATTCAATATTATATTTTCCCAAAACAGAAAACAAAATTTGTAATCGTTAGACAAAATCTCTAACAAGAGTGTATTGTTATATTTTAAAAAATATTAATTTTAAATTTAAAATTAAAAAAGTAAAAAGTAAATTATCCTAAAATAATCCCACCTTTTATTTATTTGCGAAAAAACAAGTATTTTCTAAAACTTTTGTTAAGTGGCCATTAGTGTTTTAATGGTGACCCAAAACTTGCACCCATGCGAAAAGGTGGACTTATTTCCGGTGACAGTGAAAAGTGAGATTATTTTTGAAAAAAAGCACGAAAAGGTTGGATTATTTGAGATAGTTTTTCCTATTTTTAAAATATTTTTATTAAATTTAGCTTATTTGACCAGCTGAAATGTTTGGCAGATATTTATTCAAATTGATTGTATACTTTTTTTGATATTCTGATAAAATAATATATTCTTCTCGCTTCTTGTTTCATAGGGGTAGGTTCATTTTTAAAAAATAAATTGTGTTGTTTTTTCTCTGGACAGAAGAAGAATTTGATATGTAATACTCCTTCCCTCCAAAAAAAGATTGTCATGATTACTATATTGGTCACTCGATAACTTTTTTAGTTCACTAATTTTCGGTGATCATTTTGTAAAGTGAAATTTGCACTAAATAAGACTAAAATATAATGACTTTCCTAATGTAGCACTTAAACTTTTTTATTCCCTAAATAAGACTTAATAATGACTTAATGGAAGGAATAATGTCCAGTAATGATGAACATTTACTTGAATAATGACTACTTGATAATGACCAAAGGTCCTACATTGGAAAATAAAAACATATGCTCCTATATTGGGAAAGTCATTATATTTTAGTCCTATTTACATAAATTTCTCTTTTGTAAAATAAAATATTTTTAGCACAATTTTTTATAGAGTTTTTGATATACTTTTGAACGATGTAATATTTATTTTTTACTCCGCATTCCTCTATCAATTTATATATAAGATAATTTTAAGAAATTATGATATTTTAGACGCTATTCGAAATATGGTAAACGAAATTTAGGGGGTAGGTTCATTTTTTTAGGGAGATAGTAGTGTACACCAAAAGGTGTACCCCATTTGTACACCACCCCCTCCATAACCACTCATTTATTTTTTTTATTTTTATTTACTTAATTGTTTTAAATTTCTTGCATATTTAAGTGGTAATGGAGGGGGTGGGGGACAAATGAGGTACACCTTTGGTGTACCCCTAGCATTTTCTTTTTTTTTAAATGAATGTATGGTGGTGATTTGATGGAGTGGATGGGGGTGGTGTTGCAGTGCCCATCATATTCCGTCCGGCCACCCTCTGTCAGCATCCACCCACCCGCCAACTATGCGACAAGAGACTATACTCTCTTCCAAAAAAATCAAAATCGTAGGTAGTCGTAGAGGTCCAATACTTTACATAGTTATCTCTCATCACAATTGTTAAAAATCGAATTTAGATCTATCACTTGACACTCCTTACATTTGTTAACTACTAATTCTTTTTTCACTATTACTACATCCAGTGATAAGATGAAAAGAGTGGACGCTAATTATTTAGAGATGTTGGCACAAAAAACTTGTTAACAAAGTATTACTTTGTCTTATTTCTTTAACATCGAAAAAAATGTTTTTCGAATTATAAGATGTACTTTTTCATCTTTTTTTGTGAAGTGTGTTTCTATCTTTGAAAGGAAAAAAAAAAGAAAACTTTCACAAGAAAGAACTGAAAAAAAATTAAAAGTTCATCAAAAACAAATTCAGAGTTATACGAGATGTGTCACTCATTTCGGTTATCAAAACATGTTAATCAATATTTTTTGTTTGAAAGACACTTGTATTCATGTTCTTAGTGAAAAGGGTAAACATGAAAAATCACTCAAGTTTATAGGGATAAATACCCACAAAATAGTATTGAGAAGGATTTATGCGGGCAAACCTTACCCCTACTTAGAAGTGATTAGGATAAAAAAATACTCCGTATATGAAATTTCGGAGGGATATAAATGAGGGAGGAGAGGGGAAAAAAGCAAAAGGTTTTGGTCCTTAAAACCAAAAAATAAGAGGGTTCCTTTTCCTCTCCCTTCTCTTTTAACCAAATACTTTCCCGTTTAAATTGTTTGTATCCTTTTGAACAATGTACAAAATATCATCTCTTTTACAAATATTTTATTTACAAATTGTTTGTGAAATACTATTTACGTCCCACTCTCTTTGTCCACTTTTGACTTTTGGAACTGTTCATCTGAGCACTTTGACTCATCAAATTCTCTCAATGTGTAAGCCTAAATATAGTCATGTGTGATCTTGTTTGATTTGTCTTAACATATAGATTATTAATATATAATTTCTATAATTTTTTAATATACAAATTACAAGATAAAATGAATTAAATAAGTGCATTGGATGGTGTGCCAAAAGGTAAGTGGACAAAAAGAGTGGGACGGAGGGAGTAAAAAATAAAAATTACATCGTTCAAAAGTACATCAAAAGTTTTACAAAACAAGATGCGATAAGAATATTTTATTTTATCAAATAATCATCTGATAATCATTTGTGTAAAGTTTGAGTGCACTCGTAATAGCAAGTAATTAGTGGCACTTTACCATTTTCCTACCATTCAAGTTTGGGAGGGGCGGGGGGCGAGATAAGCGTGGGGTGGGGGATCCCACTAGCGATGGATGATGATGGGCGGGGGGCGGTGGTGGTTAGAGTCAACCACTAACCATCTCTTCTGCACCCACCAACAACAGTGATGGCGCCCCCGCTGCTGTCTACACTAGCCCACCACCGCTCCCCCGCCCCACCCTTTAACCTACTCCTCCACCACCTCCTTATCTTATAACCCCCCGCCATTGCTCTGCCGCGACGCAGTGGAGAGAGAGAGAGAGAGGGGGCTGATTCGTCTTCAACCCGCTTATTCTTTGACTCCGGCGCGTCTTGGGCGCTATGCCTTTTCCGGCGTCGGCATTCCCTGTTAGTCGTGATTCTTCCACGCCGCCGCAGGAATTGATTTAGGACCCAGACGGGGGGCGATCTGGATTCTGTTAGGTTCGTTGTTTTAGCTGGTACCGCCTCGATTGATGTCGTCGACCACGGACGCTGCGCCGGAATCCGCCGTGGACGTGTTGGCGGTTGTGCAGGAGAAGCCCGCGAGGAGATTCCCGGCGCCGTGCTGGACGCAAGAGGAGACCTTGGCCTTGATCGAGGCGTACCGCGAGAGGTGGTACGCGCTCCGGCGTGGGTACCTCCGGACGGCGGACTGGGACGCGGTGGCTGAGGCGGTGTTCAGCCGCTGCCCCGATGCGTCTCCTGCCAAGACGTCCGCTCAGTGCCGCCACAAGATGGAGAAGCTCCGCCAGCGTTACCGCGCCGAGAAGCAGCGGTCCCTCTCCTTTCCTGCCGGATGCTTCTTCTCCAACTGGTTCTTCTTCGAGAACATGGACGCCATGGAGAACGGGACTCAGGTCTCAGCTGCGAGATCCAATCCCGATCCGGATGAACAGACCAATCCAGGTAATAATTCCTTTGGTTTCAAAACCCTAATTGATCAGGGCTTGCTGAAATCAAAGCCTAACAATTCCAGAAAACTCACAAAACCAGCAGATGATTCAAACCCTAATTTTGGGCCTCCAGTCCCAAATGGCTACTTGTCCTATTTCGACGTCGCAAGCAGCAAGCAACAGCAAGTGGAAGCGCTCCCTTTAGAAAATGCCTTCCCCATCAAAACCCGAGTCGAGGCGATCCCACTGGCTATTGGATTCCACCCAAAGAGAAGTGGGGAGCTGAGGAATGGATTCAACAGAGAGTACGATGAAAGAAATGACCCGAGCGAAGAATATCTAATGAGGGCGTTGGAACAAAGAAATTCAAGTCATATGAGGGGAAGCTTCATGGAAGGCTCAAATCTCGACAGGGCTGTGTCCGGTTTTCCCAGATTAGGGGATAAGAGCTCCGGCGGGAGTGGTGGGGGGTTGAAGAGGGAGAGGGAATCAAGTGATTCAATTGACCAGATCGCTTCGTCCATCAGGTTCTTGGCAGAAGGGTTCATCAAGATCGAGAAGATGAAGATGGAGATGGCGAAGGAGATTGAGCAGATGAGAATGGAGAGGGAGATGAAGCACAGCGAGATGATTCTTGAATCGCAGAAGCACATTGTGGGTGTTTTCGGCAAGGTGTTGAGCGAGATGAAGAAGAACATTAAAAAAGCCAAGACATTTGCCTCTCAAGGAGAATCATAGACATTTGCATCTCTGTTGGTAATTTTCCCTCCTCTGTTCACTGATACATCAAAACTCGAACAAATATGGACATATATCGTGTCTACATTCATTCATTTCTCATGTATCAAGAAAGTTATACGGGTCAGTTGAAAAAAAAGAGCGGAGCGAGTATATGATACGAAGTATGAGATATGATTTGGGCTATATATATTTATGTATAGCTTATGTGTTGTAGCTATGAGAGTCCATATGTATCATAGTATAAAAGGTGGTCTTGATTCCTGAAGCTCATTCATTGTAAACTGCAGCTTCTGAGCATGATGATTTGAAGTTGAGTTAACATTATGTGAGATTTCTTTGAATTTGATCAATGTGAAATAAGTATGGAGTTGTCTTTTACATTCTTGCAAGTGTACTTCATCTTGAGAATTGAGCCTTGAGGAATGAGGATTATCTTGTCCTAATTTGTTACTTGGTGATGCTCTAAGGCAATATATTTATTTGACGTGAACAATTTAAAAAGAGCAATAGGTTGATAAACGTCATTATTCTCCCATATGGGCTATAACACGAACAATAAAAATCCCATGGAAATACAGAGATTGTTTCTAAAATATTGGGTTCCTATTAACATCTTTATACAACAAATAACGCGTGCGAGTTTTACCCAGAGCTGCATACCTGAGGAATGGAACAAACATGTCACTACATATACTACTGTAAAAATTGTCTCACTTTGACTCATAAAGTTTAAAAATAATATTAAAATATACGTAGTCGGGATTTATGCAAAAGAAAGAGAAAAAACTCTACATTCCTTCGAAGGAATGTGTGTTTTTTAAAACATACAAGAAAAACGGGACAATTATTACACGAAGAAGGGAGCATTGCACTTACCATTGAGGCACAAATGGCGCCATCCAAATAGCATCCCCCGCCTCGACAGGGTACCTGTCATCAGCAAAGTAATAATTAGAAGAAATCATAGTCTGTGAGAAAGGCACAATGTTATCGCACCCAGGCCCACATGAGAGAAGCCCACACTAATGGTAACGGGATGAAGCCCACATGAAATGGGTTGGGTTAACCCCGACCTGAAAGTGTCGTTTCATTCTGTATTGTTTCTTACCAGCTATCACCAAGTCGATATATACCGCGCCCCTCCAAAAGCAACAAACCATGCTGGTTGTAATGGACCTCCTGCCCCCCAAAAAACAAAAAAAAATTGTTAATAAAAGCCACTAATGAAGTCCTATAGTTAGCATTAGAATGACCATTCAAAAAACAGTGGGAGATGCCAACAGCTTTCAAGTGCAATGAGGAAAGCCTATACACATACCTTTACATTCAGGAACTCCCCAGGTTGAAAATCCATGATCTTGAAAGATGGTGGAGATGAATGATAAAACGTGATTAAAAGATCATAGAATTGATAATGTAATGATTCCAGCAAGCAATACTCACGTGAATATTGAAATCGTAATCTAAAGATGTGGGAAGAAGCTTCCTCAGTTCAAAGACCTGAAAAGTAATGAACAAGAATAATGAAGTGTTCCATAAAAACAAAGTCTTTAACTTGATGACTGGGATATTCTACTGGGTTGTTGTTGTACAAATTACGAATTGTTTAAGGGTCGGTTTGGAGAAAAAAAAGTGATTTTTTTACCTCGCCGGGGGTTTCAAGCAGGGGTTGACGGTCTGTTGAGCCAACAATCTCTCTGCTGGCATGATTTTCTATCTTGGAATATCTGAAGGAGAACAAGACTTGTGCCGGCAGTAAAAATGGGGTAGGAATAATTTTTTTTATAACCAAATGAACTAATGGAATATAGAGTGCATTAAAAAATGTGAATGCCAAGAACTTAAAGAAAACCTTCTCTCGAATACAACAAGGGTAGCAGATACATCAGACTTCACAGTGTGTTCGGCATCCGGAGGCAAATATGCATAAGAGTCCACCTGCATTTTATACTTCAGTCAGTCAGTTTATACATGATTGTTTGTATTCTGGTTCCAATATTACCCCCACCCCCCCTCCCTCCCACGTCACGGTGAAAATAATGTTTTCCAATGAGAATCAGAACCAAAAGCACAACGTTCTTTGGGGCATGGTAAATAGTGGTAAATAGTGGATGTCTGGAAAATAGTTACCTTCAGTGTGTGGCTTTTTCCAGATGCATTACTCAAAACTACATTTCCATCAACCACAAATATAAACCTGATTACAACAACAACAACAAACCCAAGTAGTTTGTGTGTACGCAGACCTTACAAGTATCAACCAGATTGGCAATAGTAAATTGTGTGTGAGAGCGGAGAACAACGGAAGTAGTTTGTTTTTTTGCTGAAAAAGAAAGTCGCGAAAGTATAATTATAACAGCCTTCCCACCTTTCAACACCAGCTGGAGGAAGCCCGGATATTGAATTTTCTGGAAAAGAAGAAGTTGGGGATAGACGCTGGTTAAACAACTTTGAACATTTTCGTCAAGTTGAACAAAAACAAGCAATTACAAGTGCAAATTCAGATGGAAAAAAGTAAACAGCCAAACCAAACCAAACCTTGCATCTTTGCCAAGTACATAGCAAAATGTGATCCCATTTTGGGCGTGATTAGAAACGCTGCAAGGGTGTTTGTCCTGCAGAGGTAATATTTCATCTTTTTCAAGTAACCAATCAATCAGAATTATCTAAAGAAAGAATCAACAGTAGATTCAAAATGTTTGGCTGGGCATACCAATCCGGTAAAGGGCTGAACACATGACTTTCAGGAGTGATCAAAGCATGGTCTCTCTTATATACACTCCTTGTAAAACCCGGCAAGTCTGTATATATAAATACCCACAATGAGTTTTCAGCTATATATCTCAACTTCAAACACTTCTATAGTAGGAAATGATTCACCCAACAATTCCTAACATAATTTTTTTTACTTTTTACTGATGGATGTTAATTGAGAGGGGGGAAAATGAAAAGTAAATTCTTGAATTGAAATCAAGGGGAGAACAGACCTCGGAGATGGGAAGGGGAGAGTGTAGGGTTAGTGACTTCCCAGTACAGTGGTTTAGAGATGGAATCAGAGTTCGGGAAAGATGGTGCAGAGCAAAAGCCCTCTTCTTGGGAATCTACTGGGTTTAGAAAACCCGAAAGAACCCAATCAAGATTCATATTATTATAATTTATGGACGCAATAGAGGATATAAAGCAGTGAACTTTAAGATTAAAGGAACGCTTACTTGGAGTTATTGAGAGAAGAAGAAGAAGAAAGAGATGAAAAGATTGCATCTTTGGGGGGGATTTAGTGAGTTTTCTTCTTCTTCTTCACTTGCTGCTGATGAGTGATGATACTGAACTCTTGAGTCAATATTTCCCTGTAGTTGGAATCATCTATCACCATTAACCTATTGGATGCTTCTGCTTATCATTTACAAAGGCAAACTATAACTCTTACTTTTTTTTTAATAATACACATTCCTCCTATAAAACTCTTCATTGTTTGATTATTTTGGTTAAGTGTATAAATTTTGACTATAAATTATATAAAAGATACTCCGTATAATATACGAGTAATGCTAGAATTACAAATAAAAAGTTTATAAAATTTTATAAACTTACCTTTTTAATATTTTACTAGAAATAAGATGCATTCAAATAATAAAAGATATTTTAATTTAAAATCCACAAAAAAGTAAATTTGTGAATTATTTGTTTGTCCCTCTAGCATTTTCGATACTATATTAAGCTTTAATATAAATTTTATATAATTAGATTATCTCTAAAGATATTGTTATGATTTACTCTCTCCAATTATAAATTTCTTTCTCAAATTGACTTTCTTAGTCAAATTTTTTATACTTTGACTATAAATGTAGGAAAAACCTATTGAATAATCATTTTAATTTAATACCAAAAACCTTTCACTATTCAACATTTTTCTTTTACCAAATACCTTTTACTATCCAACATTTTTCCTAAAATTGGTTATATGAAGGTGGGGTGCAAAATGACCCTAACTATGAAATATGAACCTAAGATAGCCTTACTAAATTCCTTGCCTAGTAAACTAAAATCTTGTGTTGCACTTTTTATGGATGTGTCACTCGTTTCGATCATCAACACATGTTATCAATATTTTTTTGTTTGAAAGAAACTTGTATTCATGTTTTTAGTGAAAAGAGTAAACATGGAAAATCACTCAAGTTTATAGGGATAAATAGAAACATGAATAATGGAGATCCACAACAAGGACAACAAAATCAGTAGATACCCACAAAATAGTTGGATCTGAGAAGGATTTGTGTGGGCAGACCTTACTCCTACTTAAAAGTAATTGGGATAAAAAATATAAGAAATTTACATATCCATTAATTACCACTTCAAAAAGTGTAAAATGTTATGCTGGACTCTTCTCTAACATAGAAGGAAACCACAATACAAACTTCAAGAACTTGAGAAAGAGCAAAAGTAGAAGCATAGAGAGTTTTCAAGAATTCTTAGGGGTCTCATCTTGCCAAGTTGCTTGCCACTGCTTGTCATAGAAAGTTGTCTCCTCCACCAGCTTCTTGATTGTATCTATGTCCTCATTCTTTCTGATGAGAAGAACCCCTCCCACAGCTACAAACAATAGGGTTTTGCAGAAGAAATTGTTTGTTTGATCAACGAGGCCAACGCCAGTCAAGGCATCGACAAAGTAGGCCATGAAGAAACCAATCATTGCAGCCCGGCCTGCATCAGATTTCACCACTTCAGACTTCAGTCATCAGTCAAATCACAGATGATCACATTTGGGTTAGTTACATTTACACCTATATAAGGTCAGATCAAATTACAAAATGCTGCCCTGTAGTTTGTGTGCCTGTTTGGTGGCATTAGCTTTTTAGGGCATGTTTGATGGGGTTTGGAGAGTGAATATGATATGAATTCTAAGATCTAGAAGAAATTATACAAGTTTTGAAATGAAAGTTTTTAGAGATATCTGAAATGACCATTGTTAGTGACATGCGAGGACGGGGGACATCAAAACACTCTCATTTGTGAGGGCTGTGATATCGGGAGATATCAAATCCGAATCATGTTTAGGCTTCACCACACACCCATAAAAGGGGAGGAGATAAATGTGTCTTTAGTGTTTTGAAAAGAATATCCAACAGTAGCCTTTAGCTTTAGTATTTTCATAACTGATATACACCATTAAAAACATCCACAACGAGAACGATGATCACAAAGGTCGTTCTCAAATGGACCCTAACATAAATTACAAATAGAGTTCTAAAACAGACTTTTTTGTTTGTAAATGACATCTTAGATATCGCAATGTGCCAAACAATTGCTGAAGTTCAGATCAGTTGTATCATAATAATTATAGGGAGAATAGTTATGTTTTCGAATTCTTAGACGCGAGACAAAAGGAAATAATCAAACCGTTTAGGATTTCAGCTTCAGGAAGGTGGAACCTCTTCATCCATGCCCACCAAGGAATGATAGAAGTGTCGAAAACCACAGAGCTTTCATTGCTTGATGGCTCTGGGTTATCCTGCAACCATTTCCTTCTCCTAACCTCTGCAACATATTGAACTCTCAAAATTTAAGTGTGAAGAGAGACACAATAAATTGACACTAAATTTCCAAGCAATTGTTGCAAACAGATTATTCACACTCAAATCTGATACAATAGAACAAAAATCAGGAAATGTACCAGTTTATATAACAAATTATACACCAAAATAACCTAAATCTGAGATCCAAAAGGAAAAATCATGAAATATGAGAAATTGGACAAACAAATTGAGCAGAGAGGCAAAGAGACGAAGAAGAAGAGGCTCACCGGCATCAATCACAGCATCCCAATTGGTCTTCCCATTAGTCTGGAACTTCCCCAAATCCCAAGTCCCTCCTATCCATCTCGGATCCAGGAACGCTCTCAACTCGGCCTCTTCAGCAGCAGCCGCAGATCCATTGGAGTTCACAGCTTTCTCATTGAGCTCCTCCGTCGAAACAGGAGCTGCGCCAGACCCATTATCGGCAGCAGCGGCGGCGCTAATGGGGGGAATCGTCAAGAGCAGAAGATTCTTAGGCTTCTGGGGGGCGGCGAAGAGAAGAGACTTGTGTGAGAGATGGGGTTTGGGCTGAGCTAGAGAAATGAAGTGAGATGGAGGAGCCGATGAGAAGAGGGCTACGGCCATTGTTTTCGAAAGCTATTTTGATTTTGAAGACGAAGAAGAAGAAGAAGAAGAAGAAGAAGAAGCTTCAGACCATTTTGATTATGGAGTGGAGGCGTCTGAGGACTCTGAAACTCTGAGTACACACCATTTTTGTTTTTCTACCTCCATCACTCATTTATTTGTATTCCTAGTTTCAACTTTCAATACTTTTCTACTTAATAAATTGAGTAATTCCATAATTGGTCCTTTATAACTGGAGGTTTTCATATTTCGTCTTCTGTTATCAATATTACCCCGTAGTCCTTTTTTTAAGGGCGCCTTTCCACAAATGATCCTTTTTTGATCTTCTGTCATGTTGGTGTTAATTTAAAAGCTAAAAGTATAATTTGACATCAACATTATGTCTAGTGACGTGTTCTGATATTGCTTAAGCGGATAACACAAAAATAACGACTATGATTGTGGGCTAGGATTCCAGTGAAAGATCACATTTGTAGACTATGGTTGTAGTAGAAAGCGGCTATAATTCACAAACGACGCAAACGGAACAGCTTTTGGAATTGTGTATGACAAAAAAGATATATTATCATTGTGAAATTACACTTTTAGCCCTCAAATTAACACCAACATGATAGAAGATCAAAAAAAGGATTATTTGTGGAAAGATACCCATAAAAGAAGGGCCACTAGGGTAATATTTGATAATAGAGGACTAAATAGGGAAACTCACATGTTATAAAGCATCAATTATGGAATTTACTCTAATAAATTCAATTGCTACCCCCCTCTCCCATAAAAAAAAACAATTTTTGCTAGGGATAGGTGAACAAATACCGGACCAAAATTTCACGAAAAAATTGAGATTACCAAACTCGCAAAATACCGGAAAAAAACCATTTCGTACAAAACCGAATAGTCAGTCAGGTATTTGAGATCGGTACGAGGTAATTTCTCATACCGAAAAATCTCGAACCGAACATCTATACAAATATGTGATAAAAATAACAATGTTTTTATAATTCTTCATTAAAAAATAAATTGATTTGAAAAGTCAATTCAAGTATTGATGAATTACAAATAATCTTTTATCTAATTAAATAATCATTTATTTGAATTTTAATTTTTTCTAGATGAATATTAAAAATTAAAAGACATTATCAAAATACTATTTTGTTATTATTCGTTCATTTTTTTTGTTAAACACGAAGTATAAATTAAACTACGTTATTTAAGTATTTCTAGCATTTAATTATTAATTTTTAATTGTTTATCTTTCTTCTTTTGAATGTACTTTTGATTTTTTTTAAAATAAAAAGTTTTGTAGGTTTCAAAGTGTAAACTAAGTGTGTGTGTGTGCATATATATATATATATATATATATATATATATATATATATATATATATATATATATATTCAATCCAATATTTACCGAAACAGAAACCGAACTATACTGAACCGATACTTCGGGATCGGTGCGATGTAAAATCTCATAAAGAACCGATATATTTGGTACGGTATCGGTACGAACCATATACCATACCATACCGTATCATGATCACCCCGAGCTAGGGGTATACGACCTTGTACCTAGTACATCAAGTTATCACAAACACACACAACATCAACTAACCGTGTTTCATGATTTACGAAATATTTTGAAAAAATATTCCCTCCATAAAACTTTCACGGTTTACGAAGTATTAAAATTAATTTCAATTTAAATCATTTAATTATAAGTGAAACATTTAAAAAAAATATGCTTTCTGCGTCTTAATAAACTTTAAGCTTCAAATAAATAAAAATTATAATGTATATATTTGTATAAAATGTAATTGAATAGATTTATCTAGAGATCTAAACAAATCAAATACTTTTAATTCGGTTCGTGATTTGTATTTTAATATAATGATTTGAATTCACATTATTCAAATACAAATACAAATAGAAGTATATTCAATTCGGGTGATATTCGAATATATGTATATACCCACAAACCATGTTTCAACATCAATAGTCAAGTAACTAATATAGTATAAAATATATTTAAATTACTCCGTACTAAGCTAGAATTCAACAAATTAACGTATCATGAAAATCTAAAATATATGATTTTTAGTTATTTTTTATAAAATATAATTTGTGTAAGATGAAAATGCATTAATGTTTTTAGATATAGTATAAGAAGTATCGTAGTTACATTATTCAAAATCTATGTTGGTCCATCAAATAAATTATGGAACATAATTATTAAAATATTCGTTTAGGGTTCATTAAGTATTCAAATATTAATCAAATACAAATTCAAATTTTATTTTTAATTCGTCTCATATTCGGATTTTAGATTCGTAATCAAAAAAATTAAACAAATACAAATTCAAATATCTTGATATTCGCTTCAATTCAGTTCGTCTACACCTCTAGTCATTTATCTTGTTAGAAACTTTTAAAATTTTATTTCATTATACTAACATCTAATATAAACTAAGATTAATTGAAGCTCAAACTTTTTCCATTTTGATTTGAAAAAAAAAGAAATTACCTAAATACGATTAAAACATAAAGAAAGTAAAAAAAATAGGAGTTTCATGTTTTTTATCCTAAATAGGAGTTCAAACTATTGTAATATGATATTGTACATGTGCATATTACTATACTTTTGGTAATGTACATGATCATAATTGACAATGTAAACGCATTTTAAGTTATATTTCAGAAATAAAAACATGAAATTCCTTTTTCGAAATAAAAACATGAAAAAACTAAAGTAGGAGTAAAACATTGAAAATATATCAAAATAGAACTTTCATGTTTTTATTACCAAAATAGGATTTAAAATGTATTTAGATTATCAAACATGGTCATATACATTACCAAAAAGTATAGCAATGTGCACAGGTACAATGTAACATTGTAAACACATTACCACAATGCGAAGTCCTATTTCATGAATAAAAACATGAAAATCATTATTTTCATATTTTTTCTATCTTTTAGTCTTATTTAGGATGATTTCTATTTATAATGCTTGTTCACTATTAACAGGGTCAAATTTCGTTCACTTTCTTTCTCTATTTTTGTTAGCAATTTGATAAAATAAAGTACTATTGTCACAACTAGTTTTGTAAATCTTTTGATATAGTACTTTAATATGTAATTATTATTTTTAAATTTTACACCATTTGTCATATAAAATGATTTAAAAATAATTTTAATCAAACATCATAAACTAAAACATGTACTATAAATTGGGACGGAGAGAGTACAATTTTTTGGGGCATACCATAAAGATGTCTCAATCATTTATGAAAGAGTATAAATTCAAACGTAAAGAACCTAAACCTTTGACAAAAATGAAATGAAGATGAAAAAAGAGCACAAAAGGGTCTTAAATTTGTTTCAAAAAGAGCATTTGCAATAGGGCTTAGATTTGTCCCAAGCATAGCTAAACCACTCCAACCATTAGCCTTTTTGTTCCCTATCTATGAATGTCTAAAAAAAAGTTGGCAAAGGCAATGAGTGCCAAGAGGGCAAGACCCGAGTTCGATTCTTAGCAACTGTGCTGTGAGGTAACTATGCTAAATATATAACCTTTGCAAATACCAAGTACAGACTCCACTCTTTGCCACCATCTGCGATCAAAGTCCAATTCACCTCGTGTCAGTGACCGTCCGGCCGGGTCCGAGGGGACCCCGGGGATGGGACTCATCCTTTTTTTTTTTCTAAAAATAAAAAAAGTGGTACGGAAATTGGGGTACCAAAAGTTTAATTCTTGTATGTCTCACCATGTTGGGTACTAGTCCCAAAACAAAACAAAAAAGTTAGGGGTACCCCAAATTGTACACCAAAGACAAACCCGCCCAAACACTTGGTGATTGTGTTTGCCTTTAGTGTGAAAATTGGGGGTATCCCTAGCATGGCCCGTCCCAAAAAAGCACATTCCTTGAACACTTCTTCCCTAAGAACACTTAGAGAGTAGTATACTAGTACTTATAGTGCAATAAAGTAGGGGCATAATCTCAAAGGGAAACAAAACATCTGATTTAAAGTATTTACAGCATAAAACAAGAAGAAAGGCTTACACTGGATATAACGAGGAGACCAATTAATAAAGCCTGCCCGAGCACTCCGCAGATCCACAAAAGCATTTCTTCACCTTAATGTTCCCACAAGAGTCATGGACCTGATCCACAGAATAATTATAGTGATATGTTAGCTCGCGTAACGGGGGGATATTGTCAGCGGCGAAGAGCATGATGTGCGGCATCCGTTTGTCTTCGTAGTCAAAAAGGACATTTTGGGCATAGAGGTTAGGCGAACAGCTGTGATTGATGAACCTTCCGACATTCCCATACTCTGCTGCATCTATGGTATACCCAACCTCTTCCCCAACCTTGTTGTCGTTCGTAGACGTTTGGATAGAAGAAGAGTCAATGTTGTGGCCAATATCAAAAAGATACTCGTCATTACCGACCCTCCGTTCAGCTTCCCTGTCTTCCAGGAGCTCTCCTGCGTACTCGCATATGAAGGTTCCGGAAGGAATGGAGGTTAGGGATCTGACGCCCCATCCCCGGGACTCCGTTTTGAAGATCTCCAGCTGAACCTTGATACCATTCTGGCTGACTCTATTGTAGCAAGACGGTGGACATTTGCAGTGGGGACCACACTCGTAGACGAGAGGTTTCACTTCGACGATGGCCCCGTTTCGGTTGTATGGAAGTTCACCTCCATTTCGGACAGCGCACAAGCACTTTTTGGAATCAGAACACTTACCGGGACAATCGCAGCCCTTGAGTGGAGAAGGGTGGAACCATTCCGGATATTTCATCTTACGGATGTACTTGAAAGGTGGAGGTTTTTCACTGTCGATTCTGTTGATTGCGCATATAGGAAGCACCTCCTTTCCTCCAGTTATATCGTCAACACAAACCCCACGTCGTATAGTTGACTTTTTGGATGACTTCACTTCCTTCCAGAATAATTCCGGTTGACCAGGAATTCTTCTGAGCTCAAACATAAAAACCATCTTGCCGTGCTTACCTTCCTCTGACCAGTAGTTGGCGACTGTGTATAGGCCATCATAAACGTATGTCATTGCCACCTTTGATCTTGCATCAGCAGATTCGGATGGCTTGACCTCCTTGAACCCACGGACTACCCGAACTGGATTCTTCACAGATATGCTGTTTCTCAAAGCCAAATTCCCCTTTTCAAGCTTCTGGTCTTCCGGTGTTTTGACTTTACCAACTACATTTCCACCTTGTCCAGAATATACCAACACATCGGGATCATCCATTTCATCCGCATAAGCCCCAGAAGCAACAATACTAACTGCAATCAGCAATCCAGTTGTGGGATGCTTCGTTGAATCTATACCTGCTTGATAAAGGCGATGAATGCCGATGAGAGCAAGTTCCACCCTGTACTGGAATTCATCCCCAACTTCTGCCCCGGGCACTTCTCCTATTATAAGCCTGCCAGTGTTGACTTCTTTACCTTTTTCTTTTATTATCTTAGCTGCGACAATATCAATCCTTTTAATATCTGGCTTAGGTTTCGATTCTTCTCCCTGCAAGACCTTTCTATAGAGAACCTGAAACAAACGAAGAGTCTCTCTTACCCTGGCACGGGCATCACCACCATGCTTGGAACCACTTGGACCAGAAGGTGGCAAAGTTACATCAAATTCGGGCAGTGTATGTCCATAGGTAGTAGAAGCTTCTTCAGCAAAGAAACCAGAAGTGCCCCCCAGATCACCATCATCAAAAAAAGCACATTCATCTATATCTGCAATCTTAGAAGTCGGCCTCTTCTTGAGAAGGCATGTTTTCTTATAAGCATCTGGTTTATGGCCAACCTTAAATGAGACAGCTTTAAATTTCTTTCTTACTTTACTATAAACGGTAGCGTCTCCTCCACAAATGGAATCACCAGAACCACCAAAAGGTTGCACTGCATCACTTTCTTCATTGTTTACTAGGATGGAACTTGGGCCACCTTCTCTCGCCCCGATGGAAAAAAGCGTTGCCTTATTAAGAGCACTTTTTTTTGCAACAGCACCGTATTTCGTCCTATAAGAAGAATTTGTTTTATTGAACCTCTTATCTTCTTTACCTTTTTTTCTCATACCATCTGAACCAGTGGAGTCTCCACGCCCTCCTTTCCTCGATGGACTCAATGGATCAGCCATCAGAGCTTGCACTACCACTTGGTCATTAGTATCAAAATGTGAACACTTTTCTTCATCATCACTACCACTTATTGTATCTCTCCCTTGAATACGACCACAAGTATCATCATCACCATCATTTGGAAGAATGCAGTTGTGAACAGCTTCTTCCTCCAGAGGGTGGACAATGATATCCCCTCCAGCCACAGATTCAACACCACAATGAGCACTTGGTTTCTCAATTGAAGCCCTGGATTTATCAGTAATAGTTTCTTTCATTATATCCTCACAATTCCCTTCAATTGGCTTAGGAGCATTTCTTCCACAAAAGGGAGGGAAGTCACGCACAGCAGATACTCTTCTAGTGCAATATTTTTTCTGTATCAAGGATGGAATTGAAATGGAAGGTTCCTCCTCCTTAACACCACTGCTTTTGTGTGTTTTTCCAATACTAGCAGGAACCGCCACCTCATGAGAAACAGTACTTTCAACAACAGGTTGTGCCAAATCATGATTCTGGATCATGTGATTCCAATCCTCAATTGGCTCCACTCTATTATTATCTTCTTCTTTTGGTAATAAACCAGATTCAAAAGGTCCAATACTAGCACAATGAATAACCACTTCATCACACACATTTTCAACGATGGGTAGTTTTACTATCTCATCAAGATCCTTTGCAAAATCTTGGTTCATAATCTGGTCACTTTCCTTCATTGGCCCCTCTGATTTGTGCTCTCCTTCTAGTGAATCAGTTTCAGGAGGAGGTTCAACACAGCTTGTTACTCCTTCCACCCTATTAAGAGTTGCATTTGCAGCCGAAGACACGATGTCAGCTACCAATCCATCCAATGATCCATTCACTTCTGGTGAAACTGGGCAGTTCACAGCTTCTAAGGATTGCAACTTACAAAGAGTATCAGAAAACTTTTCAGCACTACCCTCTCTGATACCAGGGTCAACACTATCACCAGTATCTGCTGCAACACTTTTACCAGATGCCAAATCAGCTTGGATGACATTCCTACCACACCCGGGAGGAAAATCCCGAACTGCAGAGACTTTCCTAGTTTTAAATTTTGGCTCTTGGTCCAATGAGGAAGAATGGTAACCACTCTCTAATGTCCTCTTCTGATTCTGATGAGATAACCCACTGTTGGACACCAATACCATTTTTGTAAAAACTATGAATACATCAACCTTCTTGCTGGAAAGAGTGCTGTAAATGGGGGGGGGGGGTAAGAAAATTTATTTGAGGGTAAAACAATGAATCAAAATGAAAACAAATCATTATATCTTCACCAATAACAGCCGAGTAATGTCCCACAAGTAGACCTTACCCCAACTTATAAAGGTAGAGAGGTTTTCAAAAGGCTTATCTCAACAAAAG